TCTTCCCCAAACGGGTCAATCAAAAGGGCTAATCAATCCCCCCTCCCCCCTAAAAGAAATTTGAACCCTCAAATTTCGTCACATTATCTCAAATAACTGCGGATAGTTAATTTTCATTTCGTCCTCTTGTTCTGAAGTTGCCTCCTTGTTATTATGATGCTGCCACAATACTTTCACCATAGACACTACCTGACTTCTCAATTTCCTTTCTTGTCTCACTAAGATTCTGATCAGTTTCTCTTCGTAAGTTAGATCCCTTTCCAATAGAAGTTACTCAACTCATATGATATGCGTTAGGTCGAGTTGATACTTCCGCACATCGACACATGAAATACATTATGAACTCCAGCATACCTCAGAGGAAGTACGATCTAATACGCCACTGTACCCACTTTTTCAAGAACCTCAAAAGGACCTATAAACTGGGGGCTTGATTTTTTTTTATTTCCAAATCTCAACAAGCCTTTAATGGGAGATATCTTCAAAAATACATGGCCCCTACCTCAAAAGTCAATCTCACCTCCAGTTATCTGCATATCCCTTTTGTCTACTCTATGCCGTCTGTAGATTCCTTCATATTACCTCCACCTTTGCAGTGGTCTCCTTTACCAATTTCGGCCACAATAATTGCATTTCTCCGATTTCATCCCAACAAATGGGTGACCTGTAGGGTCCTCCATATAGAGTCTTATAAGGAGCCATTCTGATGCTAGCATGGTAAATATTATTATATGTGAATTCCATTAGAGGCAGTATCTCTTTCCAATTTCCCCCAATGTCTACAATACATGCCCTCAGCATATCTTTCAATACTTGTATGGTTCTCTCCATTTTGTCCATCCGTTTGTAGATGAAAAGTTGTGCTAAAGTTTAAGTTAGTACTCACATCCTGTTGCAACTTCATCAAAATCTATAAATAAATCTGAGGTCTCTATCTGAAACAATAGAAACCGAAATCCATGTAGTCTGACGATCTCCTTGATGTATAAAATACCCAACTGACAACTGCATCTGATACCTTCATAACTAGGAAGTGTGATGACTTGGTTAGGCGATCCATAACTATCCAAATACTATCATGGTTTTTGCGAGTCCTTGGCATCCAGTCACAAAGTCCATAAATATGTGTTCTCATTCCATAGCAAGGGT